TGATAGAGTTAGATTATTTATCATAATCTTTTGGTTGAAGATTATAATAGAAATATATTATTATCTAATATTGAAATTCGTGATCTATTGAAGATCGGTATAACGATTCGTATTGATCGTAAGATATCTCTTCCTATCCATTAATTACCTAAGAAAATCTGAATAATTGAAATTCAATTAGTGAAATAATTCATGATTTTGATTTCGTCAATTGAATATAAATATTTCAAAAATAGACGATATAATCTATATTATATTCGAGATATGAAAGATAGAGATATGAGATCTAATATTATTATAATATATTTTCATATGATGAATTTTATATGAAGCGATATATAAGGAAAATCGAATTTTTATTAATTCTAAAAAAAAGAATATCAATAAGAATTCATGAATATTTTATTTAATTAAGAATTCTTTGATATGATTAGATATTTCAAAAGAATTAAAATTTTCCATATTTTTTCTTATATAGAAATGACGATTTATTGAAATATAGATTTTCGTACGTATATTTATTAATCTAGATTCCCAATAGAATTTTAGAGAATTATTCGAAAAGATAAGCTTTATAATTATTCTTTTGATTTTAAGAAAATATCTTTTCTAATTTTTTATAAGCAATCATAGAGAAAAAAATTTCTCTATTCATTTCCTATATTTATTATAGAGATTCTAATTATGAAATACGTTATATATCCTCCTATAACGTGAAATCTTTTTACATTCCACTATTATTTGCGTTCCCGACTTTTAATATATATTTTTCTAATATCGATATTTAATTTGAGAATTCTAAGATTAAGCGAAATTATCTAATATAGAATATATAAAATTCACCGCTAGAAATTATCTGAGTCTAAGAAAATGCGGCAATTCATTCAAGCCATTGAAAAAGAATGATAAAAGGCAAATTTAACCAATCTATAAAAATCGTATATATCCCGAAATATCGATTCATAATAAAAACCAAACTTCATAAAACCATTGAAGCTATTAAGAAAAATATTTTATATTTCAAAAATCTAGAAACGTAATTTCTCCGATTCCTTTTTTCCCAGATTAGTAAATTCAGTTCAGAATCCAATGACTCGAAGCTTTTAGAATCATTCGAATTCAGAAAATAGAAAAAAAAAATAGTCGTAGCGACCAAAAAACTTCAAAATTCAAAAACCAATTTCAAGAGCTGCGCAAGTAAAAACATCCTAAGATTTCGAAAAATATTTTATACGTAATAAATTATCAGAATAAAATTTCAATTCGAAATCTCAAAAAATTCCGAATTTATTACTATATATAATCCTATAGTATAATCTTATATCAAATCATTCATTCATCTTTCTTTTATTTTCTCCTTATTCAAAAAAATAATACCATTCTCGAGCCGCTATCGTAAAATCATAAAAAATAATTTATACTGCTACCTATACAACGAAAAATTATAGATACCTCAATGTTAATATATTCCTTACATATAAAAATCAAATTTAAACATTGTTGAAATATATTTTCTATATATTGTTCAATTATATTTATAAATATATTTCTTCTTCTTATTCCTAGGCTATACTCAAATCCCGTATCATAATTTTTTCAAAAAGTAATAGTTCTCAATTTACGATGTATTTCTAAGGTCGCCATCTGTTTTGACAATTCTAGGATTGGCTGAGGATGTTTGTTTTTTGACATACCTTTCAAGTCATCTGGAATGCTTGTTATAATCTAGCTAAAAATCAAGAACCTTTAGAACAATCATCGCGTCAAGATTACACAAACACATGCGCAACTCCTTGACAGGATGCTCACGAGCGTGCGCTTGAATGGAAGCGCAGGAGATCCAGGATCGCGCGTTCTTCACGCATCCTGCGTTTAATGCCTAAATTTTAGCAGCCCTTGTACAAACAGAAGCCGGCCTTTGGCCAAGGAATGTGCAAGAACTGCCACTGGAGGGCATCTGAGCCTCGGTGTCTCCTGGCACTTTTGACAAGCACCGATTGAGCCGATTCAGGTTTGCCTGTAAATTGCAGGACCTCAGTCAGGTTGAAGCGAAAACGCACACGAACGAACCTCAAAGAGAAAACTCAAGAGTTGAGCCAAATTGCTTGTCACCTAGCTTAAGTGATGTGCATGCATGCCTACAACAAATTATCTTGTGTACATGGTGGCATAGTGCTTGCGCCTGGTCGATGGTGTCTACGCAAAAGCAGCATCAACAACTTCATGGCCGGCCATATGGCTACTGATCAAAACCATGTGCCCTGAGTGCACCCTCCTATGCTGTCTGATCCGGAGGG